TTTTAGCGAATTTCTGTTATATGATACAGTGTTGTCAACTACCATTACATTCAATCTCCGGTCATACATTAGATCCTGAGGCCTTGTTCATCTTACAGTTGAATGTTTGTACCTTTTTACTAACCCGCCCTATGTCCCTTACCCCTCAGCCTCTGGCAACCGTTTTTCCGCTGTTTCTACAAGTCTGGCTTTTTTTTTTTTTTTTTTTTTTTGAGTCCACATATAAGTGATGCCTTGCAGTATTTATCTTTCTTGTGATATCATAGCTTTTGATTAGTATTGATATAAAAGTCACATCACGTATATTCATATAGCTTCTTTTTTTATCCTATTTCAGAAAGTTGTTAAATTTCAAACTAATGAGATAGGATTTCAGCTGAGATGTTAGGCAGGGGGATTGCCCAGAATTATCACTGAACGTGCTTTGCTTGGCAAGTAAAATCTGATGAAAGAGAACATCTTTCGGCAACGATGCTGAAGCAGTGGATGCCTAGATCCACTTGGACCATATAGGGAGACGAGGTCTGTGGGTGGAGGAAGGGACTGTCCTTATAACCTGGAGCGCATGTATGTTGAAGTTCATGGAGGATACACTGATGATCTCAAAGGTCCTGTGGTTTTTACAGTCTGGATGAACTGTAGTTCCTTAATATAAGAAATCGAGCTTTCAGAAGTTACACCAGTGAGGGAAAGCACAGGGTTTTCCTTGTTTCCTGGGCTGACCATAGTTTTATGAAAATGAATTTCGAAGTATCTTTTCTGTGCATTGAGGGTTCTTGGCAAAAAGTGCAGTCTGTGTAATGCATTACCTCTGAGCTTTTTCTTAAAGGGCTTAAGGGCAGACATATGGATAATGGTTTAAAAATAGAAATATGGTCTTTCCAGTCATAGAAATCTTCTGATCCAAGAGGTGTTCTTCCCACTTTCCAAAAAATGTAGGGCTATATACTCATACTCCTAGATACCAAGACAAAATACATGGCATCTGACGCTAAAAAAAACAACCCACTGTACTTTTCTTGAATACTTCAGCCCTGTGATCAGACAGTGACTTAAAGCCCCATCTCGATGCCAACTCGCTGTGTCACCTTCTAGCCACCGCGCCCTATAACTAAGCACTTTTGTTTGGTAAAATTACAGAAGAGATGCTGTTTGGTAAGATATGTGGTTCTATTTTAGTGCCTGTAGTTCATCTAGGAACATGGCTGGCACTTGGTTTCCTCACATACTCCTTCCACATTTGTCCATTTGTGTTTGTGTGTGCATTTAGGGCAAGTGCACACTCCCAGTGTCATTGTAGAAACAGTGATACACCCCCACCCCCCCGAACAGACTTGTTCTGATCTCTGGCATTCTATTTGCGACCACGCTGGGGGATCTGACCCCTTCTGGTTTATGGACACCTACAGGTGGCAATTGAGAATTTATGGAGGTTCTGTTAGGAAAGACCACTGCCGATGGAGAGTTCGTTTGGAGAGAGTTCCATCTAAATTTTTTTTTTTAACGTTTATTTATTTTTGAGACAGAGAGAGACAGAGCATGAACAGGGGAGGGGCAGAGAGAGAGGGAGCCACAGAATCTGAAACAGGCTCCAGGCTCTGAGCTGTCAGCACAGAGCCCGACACGGGGCTCGAACTCACGGACCGTGAGATCATGACCTGAGCCGAAATCGGACGCCCAACCGACTGAGCCACCCAGGCGCCCCAGAGAGAGTTCCATCTAAATGGATCTGCGGCCTTCTTTCCCCTAGCATACGCATGTATACTGATCTAGTCTTGCTGCGATGTGACTTGGGCGGTAAGAATAAGGATCGCGGATATAATTTGCATAATCAAATTTTTCACAAATGGCCTGATTAACAGAGTGCTAGATGTCATTCATGGAGATGACTACATTTTTATGAAGTGGAAAACTGTGGAATGCTTGCTAACTATTTCTTGGTAAAATGTAAGTCCTTCAAAGCCAAAGACTATTTTTACCCATCTTTATATTCCCAGCACAGCGTCTGGTGCAGAAGAGACACTTAATGCTTTTTGAATGAACAAGTGGGTGAATGAGACTCATTCCTTAGAAAGATTGTTTGAAACGAAGAGATTAAAATGTTTCCTGGAAATAGAAACAGTGCATGCACGCCCATGCTGGCTGCTCTACTTTGATTGAGAAAGAGATCGATTTTTCCCCTATATTGTTCGAAATCCAGCCGCTTAAAAATTACCCTCTTCGTTAAAAAAAAAGTACACACATTTTTAACGCCGCATTAGTTTCGATGTGACTTCTAAAGAGCAGTCTCTTGAGTCAAAGACAAAACAAGATCCCTGTTAGCATCCCTGACAACCGTTGTTTAAAGACAACTGTTTCTTTAAAGTTTAAAGAAATGCACACAATCTCTTCTGTCCAGTGTACAAGGTATGATGTTGGGGATGTGTGTGGGAGTAGAATGTGCCAGTGCCAGAGGGCCCCCTTAGTCTACATGAATTGAAACAGGAACAGGAAAACCTTTCCTTTTGGAGAATAGTATTTTTCACGTATTAGCTTTTTTTCCTGGACTGATCATTTTGCCTAAATTACCGGTCGGAGAAGGCACACGTATGATGCTTAGCTGGGATGCTTGTCATAAATGGATTTTATATTTATTTAGGAGGCTGTGTAATTCTGTCTGCCTTGTTAGTGCTATCACTAGGAACTCACTGTTCGAATCATCTTACATACCAATAGCCTCGTTGAATAGATTTTCTCAGTGGGAGAATCATAGAAATTTATTAGTTTGGCTATTGGCCTTCGTACCTTATTTATAACCGTGCACCTTGAGCCTGGTAATCAGTACCTTAGTATCTCCTCCAGAGATCTTTAATCAAGTAGGCAAAAGTGGTTTTGAAATCTTTACTGAATGGGCGCAAACGGAATCACTAGTGCACCACAAAGTCTCCCTCCCCTCAATTTTTAATCCCTTTGTGGAGAGAAGGGATAAATGGTAGAACAGAACATTTTAGAGTATTATGGCTAAATAAGCTATGGCCAGGGGAGATCAAACAAAGGAGAATTTAGGAACAAATTGTAGAATGCCACCCGCGCTGATAATGCATTTGAGATGCACCATTCAAAAGGGAAATTGTTGGGGCGCCTGGGTGGCTCAGTTGGCTGAGCGTCCGACTTTGGCTCAGGTCACGATCTCGCGGTCTGTGAGTTCGAGCCCCGCATCAGGCTCTGTGCTGACAGCTCAGAGCCTGGAACCTGCTTCCGATTCTGTGTCTCCCTCTCTCTCTGCCCCTCCCCCGTTCATGCTCTGTCTCTCTCTGTCTCAAAAATAAATAAATGTTAAAAAAAAATTTTTTTAATAAAAATAAAAAAAAAAACAAAAGGGAAATTGTTTATTTTTATGTTGCCATAATGATTACCTGTTTTAAATAACACCCCCATGTGACCCCTGGGTGGCGCAGTCGGTTAAGCACCTGACTTCAGCTCAGGTCGTGATCTCGTGGTTCGTGGGTTCAAGTCCTGCGTCGGGCTCTATGCTGATGGCTCAGAGCCTGGAGCCTGCTTTGGCTTCTGTGTCTCCTGCTGTCTGTGCTCCTCCCTCGCTCGCACTCTCTCTCTGTCTCTCTCTCTCTCCCTCAAAAACTAAACAAACATTTTAAAAAACACCTCCATAATGTAGTTCTTCCATTTAGGTTACCATACTGTATTCAACTCAAAAGTTCTCAGTTGCCTTGTTTAAGCAAACGTTGTGGCTAAATATTTAAGACTTTCCCAAGTGTGGGGAGTTTGAATGTGAGCTGGCACGGAGCCTCTCTGGCTCAGGAAATTGAGCGATTTCTCTAATTGTGTGCCAGAGACCCGTCTAGGGCTTTGGTTTTCTGATTCCCCGAATATTGCTGTTTCTACTACGCTATGTTGTAGGAAGCCATTTCTTTAAAAGAAAAAAAAAATTGTGATCCTAGAGGATTTGATCCCAGGATAATGTTAAAATTTGCCGTGCAATCCCAGAGTATTAAAAACATTTGATGTGTCATGTAAGGCAAGGGTCACAAACTGTGGCCCGTGGGCCAAATGCAGTCTGCCACTGGTTTTTCTACAGAAAGTCTTACTGGAACTATCACACCCCTTCATTTCTGTCTGTCTGTGGCGCACAAGGGCGGAAGGAGTAGTTGCGACAGAGGTCAATGGACTGCAAGCCTAAAATATGAATTATCTGGACCTTCATAGAAAAAGTTTGCTGACCCTTAGATGAAGTAAGGATGAAAAAATGAGCTTAAAAAATTAACACTGTCAACTTGCAAAAAAGAATTGTGAGTGAAACATGCTTTCTGAAGAAGCCAGAAAACTAGCATGTTGTCGAGAGATAGGGATGATGGTGTCATGAAAGACTAGGGTGGCTCAGTTGGTTGAGCGTCCACCTTTGATTTGACTCAGGTCACGATCTCACGGTTCGTGGGTTCGAGCCCTGCATCGGGCTCTGTGCTGACAGCTCGGAGCCTGGGGCCTGCTTCGGATTCTGTGTCTCCCTCTCTCCCTCTGCCCCTCCCCTGCTCATGCTCATGCTCTCTCTCTCTCTCTCTCTAAAATGAATAAACATTAAAAATAAGGGGGCACCTGGGTGGCGCAGTCGGTTAAGTGTCCGACTTCAGCCAGGTCACGATCTCGCGGTCCTGGAGTTTGAGCCCCGCGTCGGGCTCTGGGCTGATAGCTCAGAGCCTGGAGCCTGTTTCCGATTCTGTGTCTCCCTCTCTCTCTGCCCCTCCCCCGTTCATGCTCTATCTCTCTCTGTCCCAAAAATAAATAAATGTTGAAAAAAAATTTTTTTTAAAAAATAAAAATAAGTAAATAAAGGAGAACTAGGTTTCTAGAGAATCTGAGAGCAGAGGCTCGGATTCTCGTTGCCAGCGCGAAGTTTGTGACTTGAACCAAGTTGGCTCAGGATGGGAAATGCTTCAGACCGTCATTGATGTCGTGCTAACCGTGGTGGATGTTGAACGCTCACCAAATGTCCTTCTTCTTGGCAGGTGGAGTGGATCCAACAGCAAGTGGTAAAAAGACGGACAAAGAGGGATTATGACTTCAGCCGTGCCCAGCCGACTTACTTCAATGATCCCAAGTGGCCGAGCATGTGGTATATGGTGAGGAAGCCTGGCCTGGGGCTGTGTTGTCCAGGGGACGTCTGTGGGGTCTGGGAAGACACAGAGGCAGTGACCAGGGATGGTTTCCTGTTCCAGGAGACCCACCATATGAGATTTGGCTGGACTATGGTCCAGCCATATGGAGATGGGCCTCCATTTCCATATGGAGATGGACTATGCTGTTTTCTGGATCTTTCTGGAACTTTGCTCTTTGGTTCTGAGGCAAAAGAGAAGGGAGTTTGGATTCACAGAATTTCTGTTGGAGAGCTTACTCTGTGTAGCTTTCTACATCTGGGCCAGAGGATAGAAAAATATACTAAGGTGCAGACAAGGCACCCTTAGACCTATCCGTGATCGGGTTCCTCTCTGATACATGTGTCCTCCACCTTAAAACCAGTCTGGGTAATGGACAATGGCTCTCAGAAGTCATTGAAATGACTCTGCTGGTAAGTAGCAGATTCCAGGCTTAAGTCATCTAATATGTGCTTTCTTACTTTAGGTAATGGTTTTTAAACACTAGGCAAAATGGTTTTTTAAACTAAGGGAACGACTGGCTGGAAAGTATGTGACTTGTAGTTAGTTCATTGGTTCAGGCAGAAACTTTCAGTGAGGGCAATTTGCTTAAGTGTTGAGTAGAGCTGTCCACCTGCTCACCTGCCGTTGCCTCCTTCGGAAATGTATTTCTATCTCTCTGGGGCACCTGGGTGGCTCAGTCAGTTAAGCGGCCAACTCTTGGTTTTCGCTCAGGTCATGAGCTCACGGTTCATAGGTTTGAGTCCTGCATCAGGCTGTGTCCTGACAGCGCGGAGCCTGCTTGGGGTTCTCTCGCTCCCTCTCTCTGCCCCTCCCCTGCTCACATGTGTGCACGCTCCTGCGCTCGCTCTATGTCTCTCAAAATAAATAAATAAACTTAAAAATATATATATATATATATTTCTCTAGTCTTAGGGCTTTATGTTCGTGATCCCTGAGAAATACGTTATTCTTACTCCTGAAATCCCCATGTCCCCGGTTTGCTCTATAATCTACAAAGAGACCTTTACCTTCCTCTTTTTTTGAAAGTCTTCATTGCTGGCTTTTGCGAGGGTGTTTCCCTTAACTTCCTTTATTTTTTGTGGTCCTGTCCCCGCTTCTCTGCAAACCTGTAGCATTTTACAGACCCGTCTCATACTTTCCTGCCTCTGTGCCTTTCATTCTTTCCACCCGGCTATTCTTCCTCACTTTCGCCATGGACTTAGGTGGGGACTCACCCCTTCTTCAGGGCCCATGCCTGAGGCGACTGCTCCAAGTGTCCCTTGTCCTCATCTGTTCCCTCTTCCCTTCCTCCGCTCTCCTGGGCCCTCCGTCTCTGCGGCGCGTTGGCACCTTTCCCTTGGTACTTTGTTTCGATGCTGTCGATATTTTAATCGTACTCTTGTTACACTGGGGCAGGAGCGAAGTCACTTCTACCCCCCGGAAGATCTGACCTAGCGCCTCGCGATGCCAGGAACTTGTGCTTATTTTGAGGTGGGTGAAAGCGGCTGGCTTTTCTCCCAATTTCGTTTTTCTTAGTCTCACCCAGAAGTAGAAGGTTGCGGAAATATTTCGGAACCCCAGAGAGAACTTTACATAGAAAACTCTTTCAGGCCAAAAAAGAAAAAAAAAAGGGGGGGGGAGCCATAAAGCTACGTTCAAAGGGAGGCGGGACTCTAAACAGCATTCGAGTAGAAATCACCTGAAGGGACAGTAGGACCCTTGACAGCTTGTTAGCTCCAAGACCAAGGAAGAGTGAGCCACCTGGGAAGGCATTGGAAAGAGTGTTGGCAGGACCTGGGGAGCTCTGTCTGTTGCTGACAAAATGATAAGAGTATAATGGGATTAAGAGAGGGGATAGGAGAGAAATCCCTCTCCACCGCTGTTCATGAGGCCGGGCAGAGGAGACCCTCATCGCCTTACATTTCTTCATGCAAGAAAGAGCTGGTGTGCTGTTGGCACCGGTCCCAGCGAGCGGGGGACGTGTTGGGCAGCTTTCCCTGACCTTCTTACCGCTTCGGCAGGCTGGCCTGGGTTCTGGAGGAACCATGGCCAAGGCATTAGCACCTCGGCCAGCCTGGGGACTCCGAAGGTTTCAGTACCCGTAGAGCGAGATCTCCTCTGCCCCAAGAACCATTGCTATTTCTTTGGAAATTCCCTTTGCATGTCAGGAAAGGTTGAGGGAAGAACTTTTGTTCGGGCATTTCAACGTCGGCTGTGTTTCAATACCTGTTTGATAATTCACAGAGGTGACGTGTTTATGGAGCACTTAGCGTGTGCCAGGCGATGTGCTAAATACTTTGAGTATGTTTCTAATGTAGTGTGAGCGAAAGTGCGTGTGTGGATATTGGCCCTGTTTTAAGAGCAAGGAACCTGTGGCTCCTGAAATGTAGACGACTTGTCTAAAAGCACCCAGCCTGGGGCGTCTGGGTGGCTCAGGTCATGACCTTGTGGTTCGTGGGTTTGAGCCCCACGTCTGGCTCTGTGCTGACAGCTCGGAGCCTGGAACCTGCTTCGGATCCTGTGTGTCTCGCTCTCTCTGCCCCTCCCCAGCTCGTACTCCATCTCTCTTTCTCTCTCAAAAATAAACAAACGTTAAAATCACCCAGCCCGAACGCGGTAGAGCAGTGCTGACAAACCAGGCAGGTTGATGGGAGTCCATGGGACTGACCCAGCATCCTGTCCCCACCCTTCTCCTACTTAGAAGCACTATCCTAAGAAAGATGCTACTTCAGCCCTCCAGGAACTTCGAATCTATCCACAGAGAAGCGGCTAAAATTCAAGGCAGAGTAGTGGGTGCCATGGAGGATGAACAAAGTATCTTGGAACAACTAAAGAGTTTCGAAGCTTCCTATTAAATGGTTGCTTTTCCCTTAACAAAAGGGATGGGAAAGAGGTTATGTACCTTAAGTTGATCTGTCAGGAGTAATGGGACGGGATGAGAGCTAGAACTTCAAATCTGCCAACCTCGATGCGGATCCCCATTGCTTCACTTACTGTGCCCAAGAGTTACCTCGAACTCTCCTCAACTGTAACGTGAAAGTATCTGGTTCTTATGTATGAGTTAGCTATTGCTGTGTAACAAATCACAGAACTTAATTTTGCAAACAGCTCACGGGCCCTGTTCAGACAGGGCCCAGCAGTGACGGCTTCTCTTTCTGTGGCGTCTGGGACTTCGGTTGGATGACTCAGAGGCTTGGCTGCAGCTGGAGGATTCGCTTGCAAGTGGCCTCATTATTGGCCTCATCCTGTGGTGAGGACTGCATGAATGTCCACTTGGGATGGCACTGGCTTCCCCTGGGGCAAATAATCCAGGAAGTCATGTTGGAAGTACTGATGTCTTTCATTATCCAACCTCAGAAGTCACAGACCATTTCTTCTGGAATTTTCTATCGGCCCCACATGCCAGCTCCGATTTCGTGTGTGAGGGAACTGTATGATGTGGATGTACATACTAGGAGGTGAGGATCATTTGGGAAGCCGGTGGCCACAATTAAATGAAGTACTACATGAGAAGCCCTTAGTGTAGTGCCTTTTCTGACACTAGAAAACCCTCAGTAAATCTTTACTGTTATTATTCTCTGACCTTTTAATTGCAATTAAAAGGAAATACATGCTATTTCCTCTTGTCTGTTGTTTAAACTGCTGCTAGTCAAGGAAGAGGGGGAATCACTTGTCCAGCAGTGCTTTTCAGAGCCTTCTGGTGACACATCGGTGACCCGGCTGAGCAAGGTGCTGATTTTCTTCTTCCTCTCTCTGGACCCTGGGCCCTGCTGGAGTGTTTCTGAGGGCTGCTTGGCGAGCCTCCATAGGGTCCTGCCTTTAGCTCGTTAGCCTGGGCCCTGGCCTGTCATTCTATATTTATCACAGGAGAGTGGAGATTAAAGAATGGCATGAAGTGTGCCTGGGTGTCTCTTTTAATTAATTTAAAAGCTCTGCCCCTGTGGCTCCTCCCCCTGGAAACTGGTGTGTGAAACCATTATGTCTGGCCTGGAAGCTTGGGCAATATATCTGGGGAAATCTCCAACTGCATCTACAGAGACGATGGCCGTATAATTACTCCTCTGCCCTGAAATACTGTGCTCAGGCTTCCAGGAGTTGGGAGAGTGCAATCCTAAAAATAGCACTCACTTCTTGTTGCATGGACAGACTTCTGCACCTGCTCTTTGTCTGGCCAAGATGGCAAGCACCGAGGATTGGGGGAACCGTGATTTGTGCTTCCTGAGATCAGTAAAGCAGGAGGGGAATATCTAAGCGCCAGTGAAAGTTTGCTGGACAAGGGGTTCCTTCCAGAAGTTTCTCTGGGATTATGTACATAATCCCTCTCTCTCTGTCCCTCCCCCACTCATGCTCTGTCTGTGTTCGTCTCTCTCAAAAAAAAAAAAAAAAAAAAACTAAAAACACACCCAAGCTTGCCCCCCCATCCCCCCCGTCAGAGATTCTTTATGTTTTGGGGCGTGTGGCTTGAGTGGGGGGTATTTTATCAACGCTCGCTGGGTGATTCTACTAAGCAGTTGGGACTGAGAAGCACGGCAGCGAGGTAGGAATCCTGTGTCACTCATTGCCTGAGGTCTGATAAGTAATAAATGCTCCACAAGTGCTAATCAAACAAACACTTGAGTAATCTGGAACAAAAGCAGTTCTTTGGTGATCTACATAGTAGAGAAAATAACTTCTCACCTTTGAGTGCTCAGGATATGTCAAACATGCTGGCAGACTTTCACATGTGCTACCTTACTGCCAGGTTTCTAATGAGTTGGGACCTATTATTATCTTCATTTTACAGATGAGGAACCCAAAGAATAGACACATGAAGTAACTTCTCCAAAGTCTCACTGTTTATCAGGGGCAAGCCCTGGTGTTTAAAGCCAGTTGCTCTGAGCCCTGAGGCTGGCCTTCCAACCTTGACATCCATGGTTCTCAAACTGGTGGGCGTCAGAATCATCTGGAGGGCTTGCGGTCTACCCCTCTCACACACACCCCCAGCC